GTAAAGTATGACTTGCAGTGTAGGAGTGAGCGTAAACATGCTTTAATATTAATATAGAGAGAATAATATATCTCCAGAGATAATAATCTGGCGGATTCAAATCGGGTGATCTCGCAGGTCATTCTAAGAATCCATTTCTACCAATGCAGCAATTGGTATTCAGTCTTTAAAAATGCCTAACTTGCCTACCATTGTGGGATCATATTGAGACCACATATGTTGCCGAATATCCAAGAGTATGTCTTCAAGTGGCAGCTGTAATTCATCTTGGAGAAACCTGTATTATTTGCTAATCTTTAAATACTGCAATGTGAACTTTCAATGGACCATAGATATTTTTTTTTATTGTTTGCACCAGTATAAGTAATCAGAAAACAAAGTTATTATTATATACTCATTACAGGCAGCAAAGTTTGTATTAGTTCTAGATGAAACTGATCATTATTTTGATGAGTCTCAGTGAAGAATTTTGATCGAAAAACGACCAGATCTCCTCATGAGTTCATGAATATTGACCGATACACGAATGTTTGGATTACGCGGATGGAAAAATTTTCTACGATATTCACAGCGCGATATTTCTATTATAGTACAAATAAATAAAATGTTTATCAAAGAAAATTTGTAAACAATCAGGCAAAAATAACAGTTTGTTCATTTTACTAAAAATCTTTAAAATAAACTCTTAAAATCTTAAAAATTTAAATTTTCACGAAAAAGAACGCAATTTCTATACAAAATACTTCGAAAATAGAGTTGAATGTAAATAGAGAAATGAAAAGTAGATGTCAAAAAAGGTAATCGTTGGTATGCAATTAACTCTAGAATCTAAGAAAATAATAACAAATTTAACAAGATTAGGTATTATTTTCGAAAATCAGTCGCTTTGACAATGTATACATACATATACAGGGTGCCCCGTTGATGTTTCAAAAAAATAATAGGGATAGTTCATGTAAAGTTTTTTTCTTAGAGGCCCTGTTTTCGAGATACAGTGTGTTGAAGTTGTTACTGTCCAAATGGTTTTCCTTAATTATCTAAAAATCGGCTAATGATAAAAATGTCAAAATTTATACACGAGTAAACATCAACTGTGCGTTAAGAATAATGAGCAAACGGTTTCTTTCTGAAAGGCAGTGTCGCCGATACAGGTAATTGGAGGGGTACAATCGAAAAAAAATATGTTAAAAGTCAAAATTTATTACATTTGTAAATGGTTCTGTAAACTCTAAAGCATACTAAAAAAAAAAAGTTATACTTGTCGAAATTCGGTAGCATGTACCATTTTCGAGAAAAATGAAGTTGCATAGAAGGAAATGGGGGACAATTTCAGTATCTACTGTCGTATTTGGCGTTTGCACATTTATTTAATTGTGCAGCTGTTTTGTTCTGTATGTCTCTGAGTCTCTTTCCTAATATTTTTCTGTTATTATCACTTTTTTAAGCATTCATGTCCATCAACAATTCAGTCCATTCAACAATTGTTTATTTTAGTAATGGCAGTAATTAATAACCATAATCTGTTTATTTTGATTTACTTTTTTAAATGTTAGTTTACAACAAACTAAAACTTAAAATATTTTTTTTTTAGTTAATAAAAGTTTTACAAATTAACTGTTTCATATGATACGTAAGAAATTAAAATTATAGTCTTAAATGCAAATACTGTTGGTAGTTAAATGTCTTCAGCTCATTCAATGGTAAGGTCCTCTTTCAATTTAATATTTTGTTAATGTACTTGTGCCGCTTTATGTGAGCAAAAAAAAATGCATCTTCATTTTTCTCGAAAATGGTACATACTACCGAATTTCGACAAGTATACCTTTTTTTTGTAGTATCCTTTAAAGTTTACAGAACCGTTTAGAAATGTAATAAATTTTGACTTTTAACATATTTTTTCTTCGATTGTACCCCTTCAATTACCTGTATCGGTGACACTGCTTTTCAGAAAGAAACAGTTCACATTATTCTTCACGCACAGTTGATGTTTACTCGTGTACAAAATTTTGACATTTTTATCTTTAGCCGAATTAGAGATAATTAAGGAAAACCATTTGGATAGTAACAACTTCAACACACTGTATCTCGAAAACAAGTCGTCTAAGAAAAAAACTTTACATGAACTACCCCTATTATTGTCGCATGAGAAACTTGCACACAAGTTTTTTTGAAACATGAACGGGACACCCTCTATATTTGAAAAGTACTACTGGGTATTATTCTACAGGGATGGCCAGAAGTACGGAATAAAATTCATATCTTTTGAATGAGTTAATATTTTTTAAAACGCCGAAACACGTTACTGATTTTGGTTTTTTCCCATCTTTCGGTTATATAATAATTAATTTTTCTTCAACCCCCTAACCCCCAGCTACCCCTACTTTTTTTCAAATGGAAACAAGGCATGAGGGGGCTCGTTGAAAAGCTTATAGAAAACCGAATCCAGCCATACCAAATAAACAAGTTTAATTTTTTCAATAGCAAGGTTTTTAGGGTTGTATAAAACACCTACTTAACAAGTGAAATAAAATTTAATTATCTTCAGTGTTATCCTCCATGACTTTGCACAGAATAAAATTAAGAATTTGAAACTGTACCTATCACTGATAACGCAAAAAGATATATTTTTTATGTTACGTTTTTTTGGCACCACTTACTTGCCAGGCTTTCGGGTTAATTTCTCGCTTTAGTTGTAAATTGGAGTTCGAAACGTTACTATTGTGTCAAAATCAAGTTATTTACTGAATTGCAATGGTATTGTGGGAAGGGCAACGCATCGAAATCTTGATATTGCTTGGATGTGGAGACAAAATAAGAAATCAGGCTGAAGTGCGCGATTTATTTAATGCGAAATATCCCGAAAACCAAATCTCGCAAGGGACAGTTAGTAAAATATTTCACAAATTTGAGGAACACGGTACAGTACAGACTTTGCCCAAAACTGGACGGGCACGTGCTTTGAATGAAGAAAAGAAATTAGACATTGCATTAGAACTTGTTGAAAATCCTCATACTTCAACTGTTTCATTGGCCCGCAATCACGATGCTTCTCGAACTGTAATTCCAATGTTTCTGAAAAAAGAGAAGTACCACCCCTATAAGGTATGTCTTGTCTAAGAGCTTTTGGAAGACGATTATGATAGGCGATTACAATTTTGTGAGGAAATGATGAGACGGTGTGACGACAATAATGGTTTTCAACGAGACGTACTTTTTTCGGATGAAGCTGCGTTTTATTTAAATGGAGTGGTTAACAGGCACAACTATCACTTTTGGTCCCAGGAAAATCCACACTGGACATGCGAATCGCATACGCAGCATCCACAAAAAGTTAATGTATGGGCAGGTATCATCAACAACAGAATCTTGGGCCCATTCTTTTTTGAAGAAAATCTTACTGCCACACGCTACCTGGATTTCCTAACATTTGACCTGATACCTGCTCTAGCTGTGATTTTCCCTCATGAAATTGATCGAGATATACCGAATGAAAGAATTTGGTACCAACAAGATGGCGCTCCCCCACATTTTGGTATTGATGTTCGAAGATACTTAGATGAAATGTTTCCAAATCGATTGGTAGACGGGGTACAGTTGAATGGCCGCCAAGATCCCCCGACTTAACACCCCTGGATTATTTTCTTTGGGGATATTTGAAAGAAAGAGTCTACCAGGACAGACCGGATAATATTGAGAATTTAAAGAACAAGATTAGGACGGAGATGCATAATTTATCAGCTGAAGTAATTCAGAATGCTGTGGACAGTTTTTACTATCGTCTTGGAGAATGCCAAATAGTGAATAGAGGACATTTTAAGCATCTGCGACATTGAGTTTATTTTTGTAAATTATCTAGTTGTTTCAATTTCTAAATGAAAAAAAACTTGTTATTGAAAAAATAAAACTTGTTTATTTGGTATGGCTGGGTTCGGTTTTCTATAAGCTTTTCAACGAGCCCCCACATGCCTTGTTTCCATTTGAAAAAAAAAGTAGGGGTAGCTGGGGGTTAGGGAATTAATTATGAAAGATGAGAAAAAAATCAAAATCAGATAACATGGTTCGGCGTTTTAAAAAAAATTAACTCATTCAAAAGATATGAATTTTATTCCGTACTTCTGGCCATCCCTGTATATATTTTGGTGAAGGCCTATCTATATCTCGGAAAAGATACGTTTTCAGACCAAGATCTGTATGAACTTTTTGCTTATTTTTACCCTTAAAGTTTGTACACTCCTTCGTGGGGTACCCTGTATATAAAAGAAATAGAAATATTAATATAGTTCTGTCCTTTAACACGTTATCATTATGTAGGAGCATAAAAACATGCCGTTGTGAAAACGAGATTTTACTACAAGTTGTCTCGGAAGGTCTGTGTTAAGATTACTGGCAGTTTTGTAATTATACCACATAGTTTCCTCATATACTAGAACGCGGAGCAAATCCCACTCTTGTAGAATAATGTGACTACATCACTAAATATCTTCTTAAAAAGCATTTTTGTCCATCTTTAAATGAAAAATATCGAGGTAAATTATAATTATATCCCAAAACAGGAAGGTAGTAATTAAATAAAACAACCTATACTTGAAAAATGAACACTAACCGAAATCGAATCATCAGTAAATTTACTTTAACGATTAAATGTAGCTACTAACATAGAATAAACAATTTTTGGTTGCTTCTGCGGGTCCCTGTCCCATTATATCACGCTATTCTTTTTTGTTTTGCTTTTAACTTGTAGTTTATGAACGAAGCTAGAACAAATCAGTACCTTTAGTGATTTGTTGTAGTTTGAGGAATATTTATATCATGTCGATATATTAGACATTCTATTACAACCACAATGCCCGAATCTAAAACTATTTTTGGTGTTGGCATTGATGCAAGTATTCTATATCGATATGTCTCACTTACACATAATATAATGCTTTAATAAAGATCCTGGGGTGCTTTGCTTTATCTCTTTTTTCTCTCTGTTGACGTCATCGATCCTTATTTAGCGAAAAGGAGAACAGCCAATCACCCGTGTCCCGTTTGCGGAAAACACTATGTCAACGAAGGCTCTTTAAGAAAACATTTAGCTTGTCACCCCGAAACATCACAATTGTCGAGTTCCTTAAGAATGTGGCCATGTTCTGTATGTCAAGCCGTTTTTACTCATGAATCAGGTATTAAAACAGTAGTTCAGTAGCTTTAAATAATATTCTCAACAGTACAGTCCACATATGTGCCCGTGGTATTTAATATGAACCGACCTTTTATTTTATTTCTTGCACGTTTGAAATTGATGAGATATACAAGGCCAGTAACACAGAACTTTTGGACCATACAGAGCTCTTAAGACATTCCTTTATTTTGTTTTCTTTAGGCATATGTGGACATAAACTGATGAGAATATTAACACTTAAAAACTATTATCAAAACACAAATGATTTTCTAATTGTGCTTAACACCAAGAATAATTTGTCATTCTGTCATGGTATGTCTGGCTAAACTTTGTTGCTTCAACAAATTTCTCTACAACACTATCTTAAAACCGCATTTTTCATCTCAGGACTTCTCTCCCATATGGAGCACATGAGGATGGACCCCAAGCATCAGTTCGCGGCCCAGTACGTACTGTCTCGAGCCGCCGCTGAAAGAAGGGAAAGAGAATCAATTTTAGCTGCTGTAACCTCAGCCTCTGGCAGTGGACTACTGGGACTGACGGGAATGGGTCCAGGTTGGTAATTGTCGTGTACATATAGAACACTTATTAAGGATTTTGATTATTTCAGCCAGCGGCAGTCCAATGTGTGCTTCCCCTAGTGCACACAGCGACAGTTCTTCAGGAAATGGTAGGCTATCGTCAGCCGGATCAGAAGCTGGAGGCTTAAATAATAACAACAATAACTGCAATACAAAATTAGGTGATATTTTAAGAAGTGAGTTAGATATTTCTTTTAAAACATCTAAACGCTGCACTTGCCTTAACACTACAACCAACACTCATTTGATACAGTTTTGAAAAGATCACTTCCAATGGGCTCATTCAGTTTTGTTTACAATAAATATCGGATGATATGACGTCACAACACGGCTTCTGTGCATTTTATCTGCACCCCGTTTTCAGTGACTATTTTGAGGCAGAACTTATTGAAAAAAATTACAAACATTAACTAACTATAATTTATATTCCTGAATATGAGTTCAAAAAAAAAATGCTAAATGAACCCATTTTTTGTACATATACACTAAAGATGAACAAGTCGGATGTGAATTATGTTAATATGCTGGTGTCTTAGGTAACAACGGTCTACATCAGCAATACAACGTGGAAGATCAACTGCACACGGCAAACAGAATGGCCGTCATCGCCAATATGGTTGGACAGGGTGGAGTGCCGCCCGGTTTAGGATCAGACCCATCTGCTGCTGCTAACATAACTGCTGCCAATCTTGCCAACTTAGCCATGCGCCTTGGAGTAACTCAAGTAAGAACCAAAAAAATACATAAAATAATGGGCCATAGTTGAAGTGCAACTCGCGCCATTATTCTATGGCTAGAAATTGGCCTCAATGATTTGGGATCGAGGGGGATTATCCCTCTTTATCCTGCCTCATCTCGTGTAGGCCTGGACAGCCTTCGTAGGTGGGCCCCATCCGTCGTCTACCCCGACCGCAAATGCGGCCGATGTAGGCGCTTTGTGGGACCTCCTTTTGTCCTGGCTGGGCCCCGCCGGCTAGGGCCCTTTCTTCTGGCGCTCTTCTTGCTTCGCCGGCTCGTCTGTGTAAACCCCGGGGGTAGTGTCATGTTTATGTGTGGTATGGTTGGGTAGGGTAGTGCGGCTATGCAGCCTGGGATGCGCTTTGCTAAGGTGGCCCTTAGGCTAGCGCGGGAGGGGGGGGTTAAGGAGGGTATGGGGGGTGTGTATGTGTGTGTGTGTGTCGTTGTCTTCGTTTCTTGATCCTGGCTGTCTCTGAAACAGAAAAGGTTAGCGGGCAGGGGGGGGGGGGGGTCATTGGGGTGGTCACCCAGGGTCAAAAAGTTGGTGTCTAGGTCTTTTGTGTTTGTCGGTCACGTGAAGTGCAACTGATGATTTGGTCCGGAAATTATTGTGAACAAATGTGATGGTTCCAAATTTATTAAAGATATCAATCCTTTTGTTTGAGCCTGTAAGACTTCTACAGCGTGTCCCAGAATTAATGGGAATAAAGAAGAACTGTGAATTTAGCAACATTATACTTTAACCAAACTTATCTTAGTAAAAAAGTTTATATTAAGGACGATACAGGGTGTTGTCATAATTATTTTAGATTTTCTGCTTTAATTTAAGTAGTTTTTGAGATACTGATTTGAAAAAATTAATTATTCAGCATGTCGATTTGCGCTCAGTTCACTATTCCATCGATCAATCCAAATATCGCAAAATTTTTGAATTTTTATAATATTGCAGATATTCAGTAATCTTACATTTAAAACTTGCAGCAACAAAACATTCAATATTTTTAACGAATATTATTGTGGGAACCAACTACTCTGCCGACTACAGCCCCGGCTAGCATTGAATTACACTTCAGTATCCAGTAAACAGCTAAGATTAATCGTCAGCAGCATCCCTAGACACATTAGTTCTTGTCAGTCTGCCATAGGCGACCGACAAATGACCTTGATATTTGGATATCGTACAAGAACCAACATGTTTTGAATGTGGGTGCGATAAATTGTACAAAATATGTCGAATCTTAATTTCACTACTACCAATGCCTACTGTCGCAAAACAACGTTTTATACCTATTGACAGAGAGCGACCTACGATTCTGTCGATCTGTCTACGAATTTGGAAGAATGACTAAGCACTAGATGAAATAACGTTTTTCAAAGCTTTGTGCCAATAGGCATTAAATAGCAGTAAAAATTAAAATATGACATCCTTTATAGGTTATATCTCGCTAAACTTTAAATTTTTTGTGTAGGTTTCATTTTCTTGCAGTAACTCAATATTTTGTTACTGTAAACTTTAAATCAAAGGCTATTGCATTACTATAAGGATGTACCTACGTACAATGAATATCTATCGAAGTTTTAGTTTTATTTAGAGATGATAAGAAACTTCTGATCATGTGATAAAATTTCCAGATCTGTAAAACTACAAATGTAATAAAGACATCGAATACAAGCCTAGGTCTTTTGAACTAATTCATCACACCAACATTTTGAGACTACATATAAAACAAGAAGAAAATCAGAAATCAAATTTTCGCAAAGCTAAGAGCTAGATGACGTACTATGTAACTAATACTTTTTTTAGGCAAACCAAGTAAACAACTCAAGTAACCCATCCACGCCTCCTATGACAAACGACACCCTCTCGCTCTCCGTCAATGCCATGAATGCGATGCGGGCGTCCATGGACAGCATCCGTAACATGGACGTGATGCGTTCTTCCGTCATGGACATGTCCTCCTCCCAACAGTCCCAACAGCAACAGGAGGCCCTAAGGATGCAGCACGCCGAAGCGCTTATCAGATCTCAAGCAGAAACAGCCCTAAGACTGGCCATGAGTCAAGCTTTACCCCAACTCAACCAACAAGATAGTAGCCATAGTCCACTTCGCCATAACGGTAAGTTGGAATTGTTTACCACAGGTTCGTTTGTTAGGTTTTCTTCTTAACGATGAAACAAACTTGCTTACCAATTTTGTTCCTCGGAGGCATGCCTATTCACTTTATAAATCAAAACAGTGGTCAACTGCTGCCATTTTTTGGTGCATAACATAGAAAAGTTGTAATTGTGCATGCCGCCAGTAAGAGTTTAAATGAAGACAAGCTTGGCTCTGCTGGAGTCTCTCGGAGGTCTCTAGGTGAGAGAAATGCTATTCCCAGGAATTAATCTTTTCACCATTAAACAGGCACAATTACAGAGAATGTGTACTGGTCTTCGTGTTAGTTAGTGTAATCTGCACCTTGCATCCGTATTCAATTAAGTTCTACTGAGACGCTTGTTAAGATGTCCATGGCCTGTAATAATTAGAAAAATTAATTAATTAAAAACCTGTTCCTGATTACTTGAAACTATTGGTATACTTTATGAACATTGGTAGTCACCATGAGTATTGGATTTTTCCCTAAAAAAGCCCTTTATAATATGTCCCTAATTTTCGTGCCCAACTAATGGTCGCATTTAGTCATAGCTTTGAATTATAAAGCGAATGAGGCGTGTCGTCTCCGATGTACTTTTACGGGATAACAAAAAAAATCGATCGTTGAATACAACAGTTATGGGAATGTATAGACAAATAAGGCTTTGCTCACGACTTCACCTCTAGATATAAAAATGACAAATTTATTATAATTTTTATTAAACCATTAGACTAACTAAATCTACATAAACCTCCTTCTCTAGTATATGAGAAAAAATAACTTTTCCTGGTCGAGATGAAATACCTTTTATTATTAGTGAACTTACTACATATACAACAAAGCTATATTTTCATATCTCCAAAATATACTATTTACCCGACAGTTTATACGTATATACAGGGTCGGAAAGTCCCCATGGTTCATCGGCCGTTACGTGAGAGCGATAAAGAAGTCATAGAAAACCGTGCGATAGAGAAAGATGGCTATAATGAAGGCGTCTAATAGTCACCGCCCATTTCGCCCTTCTACAAATAAGATCCACTTCTTATTTACCAAAATCTTCAACCCCCTAAGTGGGGGTGCTATCCCCTAAATTTCAAATGGGAATGGGGGTCAAGTGGGGGGTCATTAGAAAGGGCTTTTAATTCTCTATACATCGATTCTTACTTTTTGAAAATCGATTCATTATTTTAGAAAATATGCAGCTTTGAAAATACGAACAATATTTTTGACGAGAAATGCGAAAATCGATTTAATTTTACTTCAAAACTTACGGTATTAGTCAAGTAAATGCTGAAAATGTTGTCCGCCAACTTGCATACAATGATACAGGTTGTCTTCAAACCGTTGTCGAACATTCTGGAGCACTTGCGGTGTTACTTCGCGACATACATTAATGATTCGTCCTCGCAGATCTTCCAAGGTATCAGGTGGAGTGCTGTAAACTTTGCTTTTAATGTGCCCCCAGAGAAAGAAATCTAAAGGATTTAAGTCGGGTGACCGAGGGGGCCACTCAATTGCACCTCTTCGTCCTATCCAGCGTCCTGGAAACGTCTCATTTAGGTAATTGCGCACATTGAGCGAGTAATGTGGAGGAGCTCCGTCTTGCTGGAAAATCAGTTCGTGTTCATTGTAAGCAGGGTCGTCCTCTATGATATTTGTTAGAGCTGGGTCGATGACATTTTGTAGTAAATCCAAGTACATATCGCCTGTCAAATTTCCAGGAAGGAAAAAAGGACCTACAATGGAATTTCCAAAAATACCTGCCCATACATTCAACTTCTGGGGGTGTTGGGAGTGTGTCTCATGGAAAATCCTTGGATTGGTATCAGCCCAGTAACGACAATTATGGCGATTCACTAAACCATTCAAGAAGAACGTACACTCGTCCGAAAAACACACATTAAAGAGGAAATTATCGTTTATCGCTCGTTCAGTCATTATTTCGCAAAATTGCAAACGACGATCAAAATCGTCTTCATTTAGCTCTTGCACTAGCCGAATCTTATAAGGATGGAATTTGTATTTTTTTAATATTCGTTGGACACTTGTACGACTCACTCCTGTCGCAGTAGCCAATTGCATTGTACTCAGCGTACTATCCATTGCCACTTGCCCCAATACCGCTATTTCCGTAGGTTCATTTAGTACCGGATTTTCAACCTGCCTCTTTTTGTTATGAACGGAGCCAGTTTCGCGAAATTTGGCCACCAATTCGCGAACAATTTTTCCAGACGCATGTTTCTCAGGATGCCGTTGGTTGAACAGTTCGGCGACCCGATTTCCGCATTCATTGTTTTTGAAAAAAAGCTCAATAATTTCTACTCTTTCTGGAATTGAGTACACCATAATTAATCAATTTAAAAGACTCGGCAGTATTGGTACTCTTCAACTACAAGTCACAAGACAGTTATCTAGCAACTTCTTGTGGCCTATCTAAATACGAAACAAAAAGCGGACAATTTTTTGCTCACCAAAATCAGGCTAAAGAATTCGCAAATCAGAAAAAAAAAAGCGAATTCTTTTGAAGGAATTTACCAAGCTAATACCGTAAGTTTTGAAGTAAAATTAAATCGATTTTCGCATTTCTCGTCAAAAATATTGTTCGTATTTTTAAAGCTGCATATTTTCTAAAATAATGGATCGATTTTCAAAAAGTAAGGATCGATGTATAGAGAATTAAAAGCCCTTTCTAATGACCCTCCACTTGAGCTCCATTCCCATTAAAAAAAATTTGGGGGATGACACCCTCACTTAGGGGGTTGAAGATTTTGCTATGCTTTTTGCGCAAAAAGTTGTCCCCCTCAGAAGCAAACTTTACCTGTTTTTGGATTTTGCCGAAAAGTTCATTACTACCCTGTAATGCCTTGCGGTACGTTTTCGATGGGCTACCCTGTAAATATGAAGTGATGTATGGATTTTCATCTCAATTAATTTAATTCAATGAAGCATTTTTTGTAGAAGCTAATCATACTAAAATGATATAATTTGACTTGACAGATCACATCTATGTAATTAAATTCAAAAATAAATAAAATGCTCTTTCATTGTGTTTATCTGTAAATCTAAACATTAAATAAGAAAAATATCAAGAACTTCAACAATAAAGAAGGATTTAAAAAACATACAAAATTGGAAGACCCAATGTGCGTATGTTTCTTAACAATATTCTAAATACTCTCGACAGGTACACCAATGCTAACGCAATCAAATTTCAGTTTTGACCGTAAAATGCTCCCCACGTACAATAGTGTCAGGAATAAGTTAACCTCATCCCTTCAATATTTCAAATTACTTAGGACAATTTTATAGATATATTTAATTTGTGACTGACTTAAAATTATTTATAATTCAGTTGTGTTCAAATTTTATCATAGTTATTCAACTTTCATACGTCTTGCTAATTACAAATATAGTCACAGTCTATATTACGCATCATAGTGTGAGGATATACCTCAATAATGGAAACTAAATTACATCTAATCTGTTAGTGACTAACGTTGTAGTACAAGATAATATTTGAGTTCTCCTGGAAGTCAACTTGTCAACTTTGTGCTATGCTTGGACTCGCACTTAAGTAACCATTCTACTAAGATTGGATGTAACTTAACTTTCATATTTTTTTGGTCTGTGGTCAGGATTTTTATATTGCACTAGCTTTCCTTTTCTAGATCTCATCATTTCTTTATTTTTTTAAGCTAATTTAAAATCATTGTAATCGCCAATTGGCATTTGTATTGATTGTTTTCACATTTTGAGCAGACTAAGGGAAATATTTTCTCTATAAAATCTGTTCTTTCTTGCATCTTAACTTGTATCAACAATTCCAGAAATTTGCCAATATAGATGGTCACCATGGTATTAAACCATGCTTCGTCTAGATCTCTCTAGAGAGCTGTTTTCACTTCTATACTGACCTATTTTTGTGAAATATTTAAATCCCCATTCTTAAAATCATTTCGATTTCATGACATCTTTTTTTATAGACTTTCTTCAATTTAAAACTGATCCACTGCAAACACTTCAACACTATTGTTTTACCACAGTTAATTTCTGTATCAACTACTTCGGATCCGAGTAAATATATCAATATTGTGGTATACGTCTTACAAATTTTGAGTCAGATTATTAAATTTTTGCAAATCCCAGAATCTTTCTTTGTTTTCCTTTCGCTAAAGGTACTGATCATGATTTTATATATGATTTTCATTGGCATTGTTAATAATTTGAATTTTTCTACAGTTTCCATTTTACCCAACTTTTAACGCTTAAAAAGATAAGTTCGATTTTGATATCCGCGCTGTAACTATATACTCTCCAGCTGTTCTTCACTTGATTTAACACTCCACGGATGAATCAAAACTGAGCTCTTGATTCACATGAAATTGTTCCCTATTTCTAATGAATCAAACCGACGACACTCATCTTATATATATTTTCTAAGTAACGATATTGTCGGAAACAATTGCTCTGCGGACTACGGCCCCACCCAACATTGAATTAGACTCTCAGCATCTACTACAAAAACTAATATCGCAATAATTTCATACTACCACTACAATTCGAAGCGTTCGATTCGCTGATTCGATCTTACATTTAAAACCTACAGTAACAAAACATTTTTTTTTAATTAATATTATTATGGAAAACATCTACCCTGCGGACTACAGCTCTGTCTAGCAAATCATTGGTCAGCAAAATCATCAGATATTGACATAGATATTTCGAATTTATTAATTCTCATCAATATGTCATAGGTGAGACGTACGATCTACCTATATGGGTGTTTATTTACCGACATATTTTGAGTGGGGATGAAATATCATTCCATTATACAGGATGTAACTTTGATTAAGGGTCATATTTATATGGAGGTTAGCTTTGACATTTAGAAACATAAGTTTGTTTTTTTTTAATATTTGATTTATAACAAAGTCCTACAAGCAAACTGTTTTTATAAAATTAATTTTATTACAGTTGACTTAAAAATACAACAACAAGGTAACAAGGCAACAGTTATCGCAAATAACAACCGAGTTCAGGAGCTGCCCAGTGGCAGCGTAGACAAGAGTTTAAATTTAAATCAGAATTATAACGCGTATATTTATTTCATTTTAAAAAAAATTAATTGTTTATTAAAGTATGACATATTTTGTGTCATATCCGACCCATTGGGTATAATTCTTGTTCTATAATGTTGTGTCGTTTTCAGGTAACTATCAAAGTCACCAAGGACAATCCTCGCAACAACTGAGCCCTGATTTGACGGAAGCCTTAAGGCTGCAAGAGCAGAGGTTAGAACAAGCGTTGCGATTGCACGGGAGTGACCCGAGGTCGTTAGGATTTTCACTATCGAGTCAACAGCAAAATCAACAACCATGAAATTTTAGTTACTACTGAACGCATAATACGTAAACTTAATTATTAAATTAATTTTATCCTTGCAAAAATACCACGGAAGATACGACAGATTACGTCATAACTTTTCTTCATTAATTATTAGGTACACTGTACTTCTCAGACTCTAGCTTTATTTTTCCAAGTCATTCGTAAAAGGTGCTTCTCTTCCCTTATGACGCAATCTGTCGTCACTCACTGTTATTTTTAAAAGTACAAATCTGTTTATTAAATTTAAGTTAGAATATACCTATAATGTGCAACTCTACGTTCTCTTACGAGTCATAATTTATGAATGAAAGATGTGCCAAATATACATTTCTTTTCTGAAGAATTGCGTTTAGTGCGCTCAGTATATATTGATGGCTAGGCCATAAATAAATATAATAATACTATTTTATGCACTTTAAAAGTGCACCACTACAAAAATCATTAAACAATGTATAGATATGTAAGTGTTATTAAAAATACCTAAATAGGAAATTATAGGTATTTTGAAATTACTTAAATTTAGACTGTACATAAGTAAATATAAAATTAATTGTTTTAGAATATAAACCGTATGAGTGACATACATATATACGTGTATATATACACAGTGTGGCGACCAGATTTGGTTGCAATCCTCCACTTACGTTGGTATTTGATGCAGAGTTGAAAAAATGAAGGGAATAATAAGAAGAATAACACCTATTCAACTATTATGAAAGAAATTTTGGCGCTTTGGAGTTAGAATACTCTGACCGCAATTTTTCACAGATCTTTTTAAAATTAACTTTACAATTCAAAGAAAATTGCTTTCATTTTATATTTAAATAAAATGTATGGAATATACAGGGTGTCCCGAATTGTAGGAGTACAGTCCATTAACATGGTAAGGAAAAAACAAATGAAATTCAAATAAGGTTTCTTAAATTGACCTTAAGACATATCTAGAAGCTGTAATTTCCTCAAATTGCAAACCTTTTACTTAAATTTTTAAATACAAATCTAATTCCATTTCCTTATATAAATTTTGAAAAAGTCAAAGAAAAAATACAATAAATGAAATAAATGAAACCAGGAACTGCTGCATTTTAAAATTTGTATATAAAATTTAAAAATGAATAGATTGTTATAGAAGTTGGTATTTTGAGGGATATATAAAAAAATTGCAGCAGGCTCAGATTTGCAATTTCGAGGAAATTATAGTTTCAAAATACAGCGTGCACCCAACAACAAAAAAATTGATCATTCACTGTGGCATGTACAGATCGGGACACCCTGTATATATTTCTGTACACAATGTGTCAAATTAAAAAATATATATCACATTTTAAACCTGTCTAGCTTAGAATTAGTTGCACACAGTGAGAAACAATTTCAAAATTCTTAAACTACATAAATCACTTTTTATTCCTATTTAAAAAATTAAACATAAAAGTAGGAATAAACTAACAAACATACAGAACAGATTTCTACCTCAAATTCCAAATACATTAATACAGGATGATGCAGGTTTGAATCGACAGTTTTCACCGTGTGATTGAACAAATTATATTATGCAAAAAAGTTCATTCGCTTCGTTTCCAAGATACAGTGCGTTGAAATAGTAAAAAAAATACCAACTTTTATGAAATTTCTCTGAGGATACTTGACGTAGACTGACGAAACGTGGACCACTGATTTATCCAATTATATTGTAAAAGTTCGCTAAGTTTACTTACAAATACATCAACCATTGGCAGCGATATGGGAGGGGTCAGTACCACTAGGAGCTTCAGAATTCATTGGCGTAGGAATTTTGATATTTTTTAAGAGCTATAAACTCAAAAAATATTTAAAATTGTATTTTTATCAAAAAATGTGCATAAACTACTTTTGTAGAATAAACAGTTTAAGTTATTTTCGACTTACTTAACTGTGTTTGTTTTAAAATTAAAAAATCAGAACTCTATACTGGTTCTTCGACTAAAGTCGAAGAGAATTTATTTTAGCAGTATCATTAGTAATAAAATGGCACTAAACATATTTGTAAAATACTCAGTGGTGTCTAAATTTGGAAAGTGCTAGTGGTACTGACCCCTGCATCTCCGCCACTGGTTAACATATTTGTAAGGGAACTGAACAATCTTTACTTCTAATTAGATAAATCAGTGGCCCAAGGTTCATCAGTCTGTGTCGGAGATCCTCAGAGAAATTCAAAAAAATTATTGAAAATTATAAAAATAAAAAATTATTAAAATAAAATTTGGTGCTAAAAATAATTTATTTTATCATCCAATCTCACAATTAAAACCAGGACTGCCCAGTGTAATCAAATGGGAGTCGCACTGTGTATGTATATATACTTTTTTATATAGTAAACCAACATCAAAATTAAAATTATATGATTTTTTATTTTGCTGTGATTAATATAATTTTGTATTTTGGCCGGTTTAATGTAACATACCTAGCAATAACATATTAATTTTTGCAATTTATACTGTGATTTACATTACAAATCTTTTAATTTTTTATGTTTTAAGAAAACCAATTGGCTTTAATTTTATAATGTGTTTATTAAAAAGTACAAATAAATATGTTAATGAAAAATCATATTACTAATTAACATTTCTTTATATTTTGTGAATACATGAAAAGCGTGAGTGAGATAAAACAGGTCTTAAGTTTTACGTATTTTCAAAAATCGACTTGGTACTTAATCTGTGAAATCATTTTGTTCAGAAAATGTGGTTTTATATTCTGTAAATAGCCTTTGTACATAAGCATTCCCAAATAATTTGGAAATATTTTGGAAAGTTGTCAAATTCTTACGACGATTTATTTTATTCTCTGAACAACTGTCATGTAATCTGGTACAATGTACATAACATGGAAAATATGCACAATTTTTAAAAATATTTCCAAAAAGAAAATAGTTCCAGATTATTCAATAGCCATATATAGTCAATAGTTGCTAAAATATTACAATAGTTAACAGCGATTTGAGCTGACCATATTTCCCCAAAAAGTGACAAATTCAGTACATTTTACACATAAATTCTCTATTACGAAATGTGTAAAATACAATTAAAATGCATAAAAGTTCATTTCCAACACCCCCAAAAATTTCAATGTAACAAAATCATATCAATACATACACACGCTTGTATGTAAATTTTATTATTTTATCGTATAACTTTATACAAAAAGCCAAAACTTGCTATTAAATCGCGATTATTTTCCAAGTTCGAAAAATCGACTAATTTCGGATTTCTAACTCTTTTAACTTTTGAAATATATCTTTTCAAGGGAGTGGCTTTTTGGCAGTTTTTTTCAGCCAACCGTGGTTTCCTGAAGCGAAACTGTCACCTTTTATGCAGGCAAACTCGATTTTGACGAATATTTAAATAACAACTTGTCCCTATTACGACTTTATTAAAATACACTGAAAAAACAATGAAATAGCCCGGTTGCACTAAGTGCTTCAAAATGTTTTGCCCACTAATTACTTAGGTAATTGCCATACAAAAAAAAAATTACAATAGCCCAATTAAGAGTCGGTTTTGAAATAGCCCCGTTTCTCTCGGAACGCGATTTTTTCGAAAACGACTGTTGAATTCAACATTTTAGTAACCCCATAATAGACCTAGGTCTATTACTTAATGTATTTTACATAAATATTACAGTCTAAACGCCCGAATGGACAAATATTTATTGTAAAATTACAAAAAAAATTTTTTTTTGCAATAGCCCACAATACAAGTACGAGTCTTCGTACACCAGTTTTCAATTTATAACCATATTCAGTTAAAGTTTTTGTTACAGTTTTCTGGTTAATTTTGTTGCAAATGTCCAAGTAAGAACCAAAAAAAAACGCTGTACATAGATGTGAACCCTCAAATCCCGAGCAAAAGTATTCGCCTTAAGACAAATACCTAAATGTTTAGTAAACAAATTTCTATATCCCTGTAGTGCATATATAGATTTCATGTAAGCAGAGAATGTGTAGCGCCTCTACTATTCAAAATCTTCAAGTAGGATTATTCTTTCCCTGTAGCATCAAAATTAAATAAATCGTCGCTTGATCTCATTTGCTGTAACAATGCTTGTAGCGCGAAAAAACCACATTAAAACCTTAACGAGACAATTGCAACAAAATTAATTGAGTTATATCTTTATTTAAATGCAATAGTCTAAACGCATAATGAATTTACTTCTTATGCTATACAAAAATTCTGATATACCACACTTTTGTTAAAGTTATTTAGTAGCTGATTTCTTGAGAATATTAGATGTCCCCACTCCGGTGGGTATATTTACTACGTTCATTAAAATGGTTACATTTTACTTTTTTACAATAATATATTCAGATTTTACAATATCATATACACACACACACACACATATTTTTTCGGAAGAATTTAGCGAAATTCTACACGTTATTTTTAAAAGTTCTCTAAACGGATATTAAAACATATTTTCGTTTCGTTACAAAAGTTTCAAAATTCAATAACTTTTAGGCGGGTGTTTGTTCGTTTACTTGTTTAAATTTACATATTAACACATATAATACAATCTAAAGTCACTTTTGGGAAAAGTACAAACGTTTCGGCCATACAAACAAATTAAAATTCGAGAAAAAAATTCAACATTGTTCAATAAAACCACATATAATTAAATAATAGTAGTTTAATGTGAATGTTAATTAAAATTGTTAAGTTATGTTACGTTTTGTATACGTAATATTAAATATTAAGTTCAGCAACTAAAGGTACTCCTTAAGGTCGTCGATTTCGAAATTTGTAATCATATGAAGATGTAATTAAACGCACGCGCGACAAATTGGAAGAATATTAAAAGAAAAGTTGATATTTTGTCAGCAGTTTTTGCCATACTGCACTAGGGTCGTCTAGCTAAGTGTTTTATTGTTATATATAATATAGATCAATAGTTAACAGATATACAAGTTTTATGTTACTTCTCTAATAGTCTGGCCAAATATCAGCACGGAAACAACCTTAAGATTACTTTGGATTGAAAATATGCCTTTATCACTTGTTGTTGAGACAAACCGCAACTTGAGTCACGAGCTTCTCTACATAGGTTACCTACTACTTGCCTCAATTGGTTCCCAGTGACCAGACTTTTTGATCTTCCATATTATATTTATTGGTAAAAGAATTAGGTATTAGCAATAAGTGCTTTTTTAGTTTAGTTTTACTGGTATCTTCCACTTTTATTTTAAATATTACTTAACTTAGAAAAGGTAGAAAGTGATGTCGGTATAAATTTTCAATTTTAAGAGTTGTTCGTCATCCACGTGAACTACAATAATATTTAAGCATTTTGAATGTATTATTTATATGTTCGTTTAAATTTAAATAGTTCTGTTATGCTTGCGCTATTATACAATATACTATGTATTTCAACCCGTACATTGTCACGTTGAACATTATCTGTGTTCCAAAAAATGTTTAGGATTCATGCCTAGCTGACAACTATCTGGGTACCGCATCGGAATTTGCAACACATTTAATGTTGTTGGCTTCAACATTTTTTGGTTACAACTATTACATGTGAATGTTTCTACAGTGTTTACAATTTGTATTTCTTTGCATAATAATTTATTGTTTAGATATTACCATATATTGTATACGTTACGATAAAAATTTATGTCATGTTTATAAAAAAAATTAAAAAATATTTTATCATACTTTTTATATAATATATTTTTACTAACTTATGAAAATTTCAAACGACAGCTGGGGATGTAAGTAAGGCTGTTTTGAAATTTTTGTTTATAAATATATACTTTAGCGTTAAGAGTTATAGTTTTTACTACTTTGCCATTTTATTTAAAATTGACTGCCATTTTATTTTAACTTATATTTTTGCTTTTTGTAGTTATCGTTTAAGTTCCTATACTGTATTTTTCGTCTGCTGTAGAGCATCGCAAATAAAATTTTGTATGAACGACGAATGAGAGGAAAAACATATTCGTTTCCTATACTGATATTTTAATTCGTATAAGTTTATAAAAGTTATTTTTGTAATAAATAATTACATATACATGTG